CTGCCGATTGGCGTTGCATGATGATGCCGAAATGCTGAGCGATGGTCAGAGGTTTACCCAGCTGGCAGCTGGTGGTCAGCGCGAGAATCACGATCAAATATTTATCGTTGAAATACGATTGGACATGAATATTATGGTCGAACAAAATCCAGTATCTGTTAGAATAAAGCGATCGGTAGAGTCTTGGAAGTGAACAATGCATAACGAGGGACAGCGGAGAAATCTATCACTGTATCATTTGAACGCGCTAGTGAAGTACAAGACGTATGAGTAAATAACCTGAATTCAGTAGACACTAAAAAATTGAAGTGACCCCCACACCTTCAAGGCAGTGAACATTAAAACCGGAGAGTGGAGCGGTTTTGATGACATCATTCAACGCCTCTGGCGAAAAACACATCTCGCAGCTGTAGAAGGGTTAGGTTGGGATCAGCCACCAATGCTACCGAAAACACTCACTGACGTGGTTAAAACCGCTCTGCCTCCCAGCCATCGCGTTCACTGCCTTTGGCTTAACGAATTTTTATGATAAAATTTGCCATTGAGAAATGAACCTAGAAATTGTACAAGATATCAAACTGATAACGTTTCTTGGTAGACGACTGGAGTCGTTGTCTCTTGAATCGCTCTCGGATACTGCCAGTGACCTCGTAGTCGATAGCGAGCTGTAAGGAATCAGTAATTGGTTGGGACAAACAATCAGTTGCTTGGTGTTTATCACTCTCCACTTGCGCCACGAACTCGAAGTCCATTCAGAATCGTTGTGGATGATTGCACATTTGGCGTACTCATTGCAAAACGATTTCAAAGTTAACCTTCCACGTACTTACTATCCCAGAATGGTAACATTTGTTTGGTCAGTCGAAGAGATGAATGGCTTGCTGAGATCATTTAGATCGCTACATCTCAGGAGAAAAAGAAACGACATTCTAACGGTTGACAACATTCTTAGTAAGCGAATTGATTTGAGTAGTCATTTGTTTTTCAAGCTGGTGCCGTCCAAGACTAGGGGTGATATGTTCAAATTACTCTTTCGGCAACCTCGTACGTCCATTGGTAGAAATTTTTTCACTTTTCGGGCTGGAACGGAGCACGCAAAAAATGAGTAAAGCTATGCAAATACCAATTTCTTTCTTTAAACTCAGGAAAGTTGTTTCATCATTATCATCATTTTTTCTCCTGGTCATTTTTTCGGCTAGAATTGATTAACTTGTTTCATGACTTGTTGTGTTGGTTTACATGTTATTTAGCATGTAATAAATTGAAATTGAAATTTAGAAGAGGTGTTATCTGCATGTGGGCGTGGCTACTTTGTGTGGGCGAGCGATATGTGGTGATGATTGGCTGCAAATGTCGCACACACTTTTGCAGTCATAATAATGTACTTGGTACCCTTGCCATCCGCAGTTGGCCTGCGCTGAGTTGTAGGTGGAGTTGATTCCAGGAACATGTTTCGGAGAGGGCCCATCTTGCCATTGCTTGATCCTAAACCTTGTAATGCACTACTATTAGGGTAGTTATAGATGTATAGATATGTCTTATCATTGGAATTGTCGGTTGTCAGTAGTATGACACAGTCGCTGTTCAAGGTTACTTTTGATTTCAACGCGTTTCCCCTCTAGCTCAGCGTGCTTGTGCAGGACAAGCTCGAAATTTCGTAAATGGGCATTCGTCCTGAAAGTTAATTCCATCTATTTTCCACATTCTCCATGAGAAACATACAGAAGCTGTAAAAGGTTCTCTCTGTGGGTAACTCAACCTTCACAGTCCATCTGATATTTTGTGGCCGTAATATTAGGTAACGCTGAGAAGTTTGCGTGTCTGTGGCGTCATTGAATTGGAGCTGAATAACTCATACTAATGCCAGTCACTCGTTTTCCCACAGGATAAAAGGTCACGAAATCACTACATTTGAATCACATTCTCAAGGAACGTCAGGGCAAAGTAGCAAGAATGTACGTGACTGAGTCGTGACGCATCTGCTTGCGCCCTTGCCCTTTCCACCAAGTGTACGGACAAGCGAATGTGGGAGACAAAGCAAGGCAGCCCATTTTTGATGGCGTATAGAGTCTCGAAGCAAGGATATCGCGAAAAATACTATAAAATTTGCGTTTGTGTCGCAAAGGATTGGTGTCAAACCATCAATTTGGGCCAATTTTGAGATCGGCACGATCTGCCTTCTAGAAAGCTCATCCGTGTGATCCCCTTCACTTTCTTCCTTACCTATCACTTCATTATATAAACCACAACTTTGGTGTGTCGGTTTGTCGCTGTGTGTGTGTCGTTCAGTCCGTCCGGCCCAACCGCCAACAGAACCAGGAAGGTCGAAGGGCTACACTTCGTGATGTTGATGTCACGATTATGATAACACACAGCGGCTATATATACACCGATGAGCACACTCAGACTTTTTCTGCATGGTGCTACAGTGGCAGCTGGAGGCGGGGGGGGGCAGTGGAGAAAGGAGGGGCAGAAAAGGGGAGGGAAGGAGGGGAGAGGATAAAACAAGGGAGGACATGGTGCTGCCAGCTGGAGGGCAAGAGGTGAGGGTAGAAAGGGGGGTTGAGAGAGGATGCAGGGTAGGAGTACAACCGCTTTCACGTGAATGGGCTATACTATCCGTGTTGAGGTATTACTTAAACGTGACTTTGTGATTCTGATAACACCCACAACGGCTGTACATATGAACACCGATCGAGCTCACGTTCAGTTTTACTCTATCATGTGCAGGTGGAGGAACCACAGCGGAAGACGTGAAGCTTACGCAGACAAGCAACTTCGCAGCGGTTGACGGGGGACCAATCTGGTATAATAGAAGCTGGTTCTACCTGAGAAACTCAATCACTCAGAAACTTTGTTGGCCGCCACGGAAAGCCGAGAGCATTATGATGCAAGTTCCGTTTTTTTTGATTCGTGTCAAATTTTCTCCAGTTTCTATCGCAAAATTCTCTATCACACAAATACCGCTCATTCCAGCATATTAAAGGCAAAATCCGGGATTAAACAGGTGCTATCAGTGCTTTGTAGTGATCAATCAGAAAGCAGAAAGGAAACTAAGGTGAATCTTTGAGAACGCTGAAATAGAGGCCCTATCCTTCAGTAGGGTCGGATGTGGTACGCAAAATGAGCAAGCAAGAAGGGGCCGCTCAAACACAAGACAGAATACAGATGAGAGCATAAGTCAGTCTCTGAGAAAGCACCAGCTGATACTACTAAACTATAACCCAGCAGGACTAGCGATGTGTCTCTGTTGGCTAATTCAACTCCCGACCCCCCCACCCCCCGCCGCCCACTGTCCACACGCGAACGACTGGCATAATTGGCCTGCAGCTTTTAGCACCTGATCGGCACAATGCAGATCACCGTTTCTGATCACAATGATTGTCAAGTGGGGTGTCTCTGGCCACCCCCCGACCCGCACTGCTTCTAAAGAACTGCTTTCGACTGAAGACAAGTCGTATCCCTTCTATTTATAAGCGATATAATATGATATGAATAGATATTTGGTGTATCTCATGTATGTGTCGTGTGTGAGTGTGTGTGGTGTCTCGTCATCTATGCCTGTTCGGTCCGCAAAATGAAGTGAGTGAGACGGAGCTGCATGGGATAAACAAACGCTAACAAATCGGGTAGCTTACAGGATTTGAAGATCTCAATTGTTGTAGCAGGGATAGTTGTGATAACAACTTGGGCTATATAAACTACTGCTGGAACACTTCGTTCAATTCCAAATGGTGCTGCAGTGAGTGAGGAGTGGAAAGAGAGGGGGATGCGGAAGGCAAGCGAAAATCTAACCGCCATATCATGAATTGTGTCTCTTCATAACTGTAATGAAACTACGATTGTGTTGCATACGCGTCACTTCCAGGAGGTGTTGGTGTCAACAGGAGGAGGGACCATTAAGGCGGAGGATAGAAATGCTTTGCGCATTAAAGGAAAGTCCCGGCGAGTTGCACAGGGGCCTAATACGGGTCGTCAAATAAACGAACAAATCAGGACAATTTTTTTCATCTCAAAACACAACACATACTGTTTCCTGTGGTCACGTTTAGTAAACGGCATTAGTAGTCGATAACCCAGAAACCTTCATTCCTTCATTGGACTGACATCGTCTTCTTCCTTCCATGTAATAGTACTTAGAGATGTCACTACACTTGTTTTCTAATGCTCTACCCGTAACCCATGGCCCAGCTGAATAGTTGTAGTGAAGAGTCGAGTGGAAAAATCTCAATCGCCGTCTCGTTTGCTGCTATGGGAACTGCCGTCAACAGGGTGTTTCTGGAAAGCCAAGAGCGTAACTTCTGAACCGGATTCTAAGTCTTACAACGCGATAAAGCAACTTCATGTGGGAACGGTTGCCACACGCCCGCACTCATATCCGCGGGCAATCGTTCACTATTGATTCTCATTGGACCATCGCAACGTCTGTCATCTCTCACTTGGTAACCAGTAATTGGTACAAGAGATATATATCACAAGGGAGTCTTTCAAGGTGTGAAACGATTTTCCAGAATATATATGCTTGTTGTAAGAGCTCATGATTTGGGCTACGAAAACCGAGGGTCATTTGGGAACGTAACACGAAAGTGAAGAAAGTAAAAGTTAACACTTCCGTGTGCGAACATAATTCGCACATACTGACTGTAAATCGTGTCCGGTAAGTCGTATTAGTATGATCTTGCATTCCTCATGACGAAGGGCTGAAGTGATGCTCAATTAGCGTTTTCACACCACGTAACTTTTTCAACACTTGCTCTTTCAACTCTACTCCGGCACAATAGGAAGGCTGTGAACAATGTCTTTTCAGTTCGAGAACCAGAAGCCTCTCACTATGTAATCTTGTTTCCCTCTGCTTTCAGTTTTTTATAAGTTATGCTACCAGAATAATATAATAAGAAATAAGCGGTACCAGGGAGGTTTCGGAACTGTGAGAAGCACCCCAAGATCGAAGTGTGGAAAGATACGTGCCCCGTGGTTTTTTTTTTGTACAAAAAAGTGGATTACCCCATCGCCAATGTCTCAGTGGAACAGTCTTTTGCTGTTACCAGAAACAGAGCACTGGTGCTGCTTTGCGTCGCTGGCACCCTATCGGCTGAGGAGAAATCCGCGGCTGTTGGCAGAGATTGTGGAAGAGGACTTGTCGACTTGATTGTTCCTTTATTGTCTGGAAGGGATTCGCTGTAGGTCGAAACATGTTTCACGTGGAATTAGCACAGAGTTCAGAATATTTGAATTTTATTTGAATATCCTCTCATAGTGCTTGGTTGGTCAGCTGTAGTTTCATTTTCTAGAATGGTTAATCCGTCATCAGGAATGTGGTCGCGCGCATTGCGAATCCAGCTAGGGTTAACGCTATGAAAATCCCGGACCACGAGGAACAGAGTCCCGACCCTACCCTAATTTCCGGAAAGCTTCTCATCCGGTGCGACCAGAGAAATAAAAGAGTGTGCGGCTTTCCTGCGCTAATCTAAGGCTTATTGTTAGCTATCTTGAATGTACTAGGTTTTGACTGCCCCTACCTTGTCAAGGACACGAGCGGCACTCCGCAATTCTTGGCAGGTTGCCCCATTTCAGCATTCTCATGCACACTGTGTACGCTTTTCCTCATCAGACTCCATGCAGTGGACCTGGAGGTATCACGTTGTGTAGAAGAGAGCAAAAACTTCAAAAAAAAAAGCGATCTAAGGGAAATGGGTTGCGATTAACACCACCACCCCTTCACTCATTCGAGTTCCCTCACGAAACGGTTGATCCATCCACTCCATGAAGTGGAACTGGAGGTGTCTGGCGTGCCAAATTCAAGGCAGGTTTTCATCTTAGATACTGTAACCATAAACCAGATTGAGTCGAGACTAAGAACGTGACAATACCTTCGGTGACTGAGTCTGCTGTATGAGGGTATACGAATCGGTGTGGATCGTTCGGAAATCTTCGCTGTCTGTGACGCGAGCTGTCGGATGTCCACGGTATGCTGTCACTCCCAGTGCTCCCACTAGCACAAGCTGGACAATCGCATAACTGAAAACTGATTTCTGGAAGAAATCACTATATCAGCGTTCATACTCTGCACCGAAAGCGCGAAGATTTGTCGCTTCCGCGTAGAGTATGGCCTTGCTTAGAATATTAACAAACCTGTCATCGGCTCCTATAAGCGCGTCACAAATCAGTCCCATCCCGTAGTACATCCAGAACATGGCCACAGTTGTCTATAAATGCAACCCTTTTTGCTACGCCATTGTTCCGGAAACCGAATTCAATCCCTCACCACACTTATTGTGCTGTTGTCGTTATTGATTGCAAGGATTCTCAAAGTAAACATGATGGCAGGCACAAGAGTGAAGACGTGAATCACAGTCTAAAAATCGAGTTTCATGGTACTGGGACACACAAAAAGTCTATATTCTTTAAAGCTGTCTTCATTGTTAAAATACACACACACGTTTTAATGCGCTCCTTCAAGAGCTCAAAGGGGAAGTATAGGGTCATGGATTGCTTTTAAAGGTCTGCTCATAATACTGCATGCCTCAAAGTCGGGGTTTACGATGACTGATAGCCCACTGGAAGTCAAGGTGGAGGCGATCAGAGGTGCAGGGATGAAGAAAGAACTACGAGAAATGGTCCAAAATCCTAGAATGGGACCCGTTCTTTGCCCGCCGATTTTCGCATTGATGCGTCATCAGCGCTATCGTCTTCACCGTTTACGCTTTTTCTACCAAACTGGTAGAGCCAGACGGCAAGTGCCTACCCATCGGCGGACACGCACACGCGCGAATTGTGTGGGTATGGCCCGGCTAGGGTGATGGAAGCACACCCTTTGCTGCAAAAGGCACATCGTCCCGTAGAGGGTCCGCTTGCTTTCGACTCAGTATTTTCCCTTCTTCCACCTCCAACCCTGTCGTGAAATCTTCCTTACATTACAGTATAATATACAATCTTAGGGGGATCTTGGCTGTACCAAGATCCCATTCGTATCCCAACACTGGCCCCTCGTAACAAAGCGACGCTTGAAAATTGCTACACAGGCAGTTAGATCGAGCCGCGCTGTGAGCGCCGCGCGGTTGTTTCCCGAAGCTCACGTATCCTTACGGCAATCCTCTCTAGGAATCCTACTATATATAAAATCGGCTTAAGCGTTGTGTGTGTGTGTCTGACCGGAAATTATAACTTCATTCCCTTTGGTCCCCAAGCGCTCAAACTTTCAGGTGGTACGGGGGGCTGGACATGAACATCAATGGGAAGTGATCGGAATTGATAACCACTGATTAGAGCTGATAACGGACGTCGGAAAGCTCATATCACCAATCTCGCTACGCCGTTCGCGTTGACAGTTGAGAGTTTTCACTCATAAGTGTAATGTGCTGTGTGACGGGGACCCGAACAGGGAGCGAAGAATGGTGATAGCAAGTGATAAGAGATGGCAACGTGAGCCGGAATGCAAAGGCCACCAGTTTTGTTGCTTTTCTCACATTGGCAGTAACATGTTTTAACCCATTCTAACCCATATTATGTGGGATGAGGCGGGGACTATGAGAGTGGGTGAAAGGAGGTGGCGGTAAGTGATAAGAACCGATAAGGGGCGTCAAAGTGTGAACACCACCAATTTCGTCGCGGCCTTCGCAGTGACACTAGAACCTTGGCTCTTACATACGGTACGGAGAATCTTACGGGAACCCGAATGGTGAGTGATCAAAAGTGATAACAATCGATAACGGCTGATAACGAAGTCTAGAATTTGAGTAATATCCTTCGTGGTGACAGTAAAACCTTCGCTACTACATGTTCCATAGGGGGTTGGACTGGGACAACGGTGCTATAGGTGTGAACGGTAACTGACGACAAGAAATGATAATTGGCGTCTGAATGCAAACACTACAGCTTTGTTGCAATTAACACTGCCATCATGGCGGCAAGGCTAAGCCAGGTTCTTAGCACGTGAATATGCTTCGTTTCTAACCTTTCACCAAACGGTGCAAAGAAAGTTGAAACACTCAACTATCTACTAACTATTGGACCCGGACCAATGACAAGTTATCATCAGAGCTAGGTCAGTTGCAGATTGAATGGTCATATCTCACTCTTTCAGCGATACTCACAGTATTAATTCTGTAGACCGCTAAATCATTCAAACTCGATATTAATGCTGAATGTTTACAAAGTCGTGATAAGCCGTTTTCATTCCGCATGCTACGCGTGCACTACGAAATAGCCTTCAGCGGAATGGACAGCCTTTACATCTAATTAGGAGCATTTTTCAAAGCAGCACAATAATATTTCTCAGCCAAGTGACCTAACATTCCATAGGTTGTCCAGTTTCACTGAGGCCCACCATATGATGCGCGCGGATGCGTGCGGAGCTAAACTGGTTTTCAATAAGCGGCGTCTGTAGGCGAATGGTTTCGGGCAGCTACTATGTGAATATATGTATGTAGCTGTCTGGCACTATATATCTCGGAGCCTCGGGGGGGGGGGGAAGAATGACATTGCGTCGGAACCACGGTAATATTCAGGTTTGGAATTAAGCCTTAGGGAGGAGAGGGAGTCCGGCATGCGTAATCGCTGCGTTTCATTGGGGTCTTACCCGGTGGAAAGTTGGTGCACGTAACGGTGACACCTTTTTGCACACTGCTCCTCCCCCTCCCCACCAAATCACAACATGCCGCTGCTTAAACACACCATGGATTATCAGCGATGGGCTCCTCTGTTCCTAGCTCAGGTGAGCCTTTTCAAACCATCAAATGCCCTGCCTCCGGTTGCATGCGCAGTTCTCAGAAGGTAATGGCACATGCTGTTGACTAACGATACTTGTCATAATTGCATTAGCCAACGTTCAGAGTTGTGATCATGTATGCGATTATACGGTAAGCGACAAGAGGACACGTATCGACTCGATTGCCCCGCCCACTGAGCGATCGCTTCATCGCGTAATCGCCTAATCGATACTATCCATTTCCTTATAGGCCAACCGCTTGGTCGTCTAATCGCTTAATCGCATGTACAATCGCTTATCCTGAACTCTTCCTCAATGATAATGCAATCATTCCTGAATGAGACTTATTTGACCTCCACAAACTTCACCATTTGCTTGAAGTCTGGTTAAGTTACCGGTCAAATAAACTGTGGTTATGAGCTGATGCTATGACAAACTTTCTCTTCAGAATCCTATCGGATGTGAAGAGTGTATGATTTGGCGCAAGTGTGGTAGGAATGGAGTGGGGGGAGGGGAGAGGAGGCTGCGGCGCGAGAGACTCCGCCGGCAACACCAATCCAATTTTCCGTAAGAGCCCTGGGTTGACGGCCCGTTCGGCTTATTCGTGGAGAGCATGAAAACAGAAGTATAAGGCCCTTAAACTCCCTACGTACACTACTCCGCGGTAGCTTTGAATACGGAACAAGCAGTAGGAGCTGATCGTGCCAAAGCAAATGTAGCTCAAGAAATCGCCTAGTTCCTACAAAGCAGCTGAAATTCTCGAGTGAGCAGGTCTTAAGTCTCAAGTGTTACGCATCCTGGTGAGATGCCGACCAACCCCAAGTGCTTCATCATTTACTCATCTGTTTCCGAAGTGTGTTCAGTATCCTACCTTCATATCCGCATTGTGGAGAATGAAAGCAGCAAATCCACACAACGCAGCCAAGGCAAGAGCTTCTCTAGTGGACAGCTCGATATTTCTGGTGGTACGACCTGAATTGAACACGATGTTGCTGCATAGTTTGTCATAAAACGCAAAGCAACGAGGCTACCGTCACGGGAACTCAGCGGAGAGTAGAATGATTTATACATATCGGATATGTGGGATGAAAGGACGAGTAGATCTCAAACCTACCGCATCACCTCTTTTATACCTAGAGATTCACGAAAATAAAAATATTTTTGTTGTTCATTGAACGGTAGCTTCACGTGAGAAGTTATCCAGGTGCACCAGTGGCATATATAGGGGAGGCCGAAAAAAAGAGACACTTCACTCCACGTTCCAGACAGCATTAATCACACTTTGCTAGGATCAAGTCGGCTGCCCCCAACTAAGTACTAAAGAGCACATTCTAATCTATCTAAAATTTACATGACAGCCTTCTTCACCGACGACATCAGAAGATTTTCCCACGGAAACATGAATCACGGTACGAGCTCAACGAGGTCGTGGAGGTACCATAGACCATTACGACGCCCGTGTAAAGCTAGTCAAAAGCGGTTTTGCACAGTCACAGCTAATGTCTCTTGGAAGCTATCCAACAGATAATCCATTGAAGAAATTACGTAGCAGCGTCAGTTCGGAGCGATTACGATAAGCGTCGTTGAGCTCAACGATGGCGGCAGATGACGTCATATGCTGAAGACGGTGGGGGCAGTAAAGGATGGCCTGCTTCTGTTTACGGGGTAATACCTAAGGAATATTCCGCCGTAGAACTTTCATTAATGTCGGCTCTCTGTGCGACGAAAAGTTTGAAGATGTGCGTCATGGGCAGAGTGTCTCTTTTTTTTCGGCCACCCCTGTACAGTGGCAGTAAAAAGTGTTCGTTGGAACAGTTTTTCGTGCTCGTCTTTTCTTTTGCCGGAAAAACATCAGCGGTCTCAAAACTTTTTCTCTTGAACATCCCGATTCTTTGAAACTCACCTGTCACCTGTATCACCTGTCGTCCCTTTGATCGTCGATTTGCTCGAGCGGGCGTCAGCAACGTCTCCATTCGTCCCTGTCGCGTACCAGAGTTGCCCAGTGGACCCACCTCGCTCGAGGGACACAACGTCTCTCATTCCTTTCGTTCAGAGCTTTCGTGAAGAAGTCTGACCATAGGGGCGGTCGTCCAGGTATTCGCTTGACGTCCCGAGGGATTCAGTCGGTAACCGCTCTGGTCCAACGGTCATCACAGAATCGCATGACGTGTCAGGCCCACCTGACCTTTGATTCCTTGGCGAAAACGGCAGCGTCACTGATCTTCGACTGTTGACACAGTTCGAAACTCCGGATTCCCCTCTGCACTTGCGTGTATTGGGTTACTCCTAGCATCGTCCTATCAACAGCGCGATGGATAACGCTGACCGCATGCTCATCCTGCCTTCGTAGAGTCCAATTCTCTGAGGGGTTAAGGCAGGAAGGACTGCGGAATCGAAAAGGTGGGCACGGAAACGGATGTTCTTCCTCTTCTTCACTACTCTCTCGATGGTCTTAAACGCTCCCCAAGCCGCTCGTTTCCCTACTCAGCTCTGGAGCTAGATCGTTCATCATATTGATTTCCCGTCCTAGGTACACGTAGCTGGAGCATTCGGTGATGTTCGTTCCGTTGAGCATGAATGGGGCATCAGGAACCAACCCGTTCCTCATAAACATCGTCTTCGTTAGGTTCAGCTGCAGACCGACCTTACCAGGCGCAGTCAAAATCAGCCAGCATTCGCTCTGCTTGGTCGATGTTCGACGTTATAAGAACCATGTCGTCAACAAAACGAAGGTGGTGTAGCTGCCGGCCGTCGACCTTCACTCCCATGCCTTCCCATTCCAGTTGACGCATGACGTCTCGAGAGCAGCGCTGAAGAGTTCGGGCGAGATGGTGTCACCTTGTCGAACCCCTCCCTTAATGTCGACGATGACATCCTTGTCTAATAGAATGGTGAGATCCTGGTCGTAAAGCTGCTGTAGAACTCACGAAGAATCCTTATGTACTGAGTAGGAGCGCCCTGGTTGCCCAAGGCTTCGATGACCACTTCTGTCTCCACAGAGTCGAAGGAAAGTCGATGAACGTGAGGCGAAACGGCATCTTGTACTCTCGTGGTACTTTAATGAGTCTCGTAACCGTGTGGATAAGGTCGACCGTACTGAACCCTCTCCAAACCCTGCTTGTTCGCATGGCTGACCTTCATCTAGTATTTTGCCGATCCTGTTGAAGATGACTCGAGTGAATAGGGTGTATTACAGACAGCAGGCAGATTGGGCGATAGTTGCCAATGTCGTCCAAGTCTCCCTTCTTGTACAGCAACACGGTCCTGCTGGTTTTCCACGGAGTGGGTACCTTGCATTCCGACAGGTAGCGCGTGAAGAGTCGAGCCAGAGTTTTGATGATAACTGGCGGTGCGTTCTTCAGATGTTCCGGTTTAACCCTGTCGAGACCGGGCGCTGTACAATTCTTCACCGACTTGATGGCGTGTCGGATTTCGGAAGGGAGAACTGAAGGGACAACGTATCCATCCTCTTGCGGTTGTATTAGTTAGACAGTTATGGCATGGCTATGAAGGATCGAGTAGATTCCCTGGATGACTTTCTCCATTGCTCTTCGGAAGAAGTACTGTCCATAGGACGTCGGCAGGCAGTCACTTGGTATGTAGTTGCAAATTAGGGGGCATGTGAGCTCTCCCAGCATCTGCTGACTGTCACTATCTGCTGCTCTTTCTCTTGAGATCTTCCTTTATCGCTGTGATGCATAGCTGCGCAAGATTGCCATTTGAGTAGCGTGTTGCATGCGCTCTGCGGACTCACGTTAGCTATTCTGCCTCAGAGTTTCGTGACAAGACTCCCGTGGTGGCTTTCAGACTATCTTGCATTCTGGACAGTACTAAACGAAGCTGATGATATCACTCGTCGATGTCTCGATAGTCCTCATGAAGGGGAAAAAGAGAAGTAAGTGGTCCATTGAGACTTCGTGGCAGCTCGCCTTCTACTTTGATGTCTTAAACACGCATCAAAATGGAAAACTTTGGCGAGGAGGCGATGGTCGATCGTACTAGAACTCTCGGAACAACAGCGACATCGTCATGCAACTTTCGATTAATGATGTGGTCTAATTCGTTTATGGAACTTTATCAATCTGGTGGTTCCAAGTCCTACTAAGGTGGGGGGGATTCTGGACTGTAGTTCATGGGATCGATTGGTGGACCGATTATCTCAGCAGCTCTTTTTGCCTTGCCTTCATTCCAGTCATTCGTGAGTACTGAGTGAAGTTTCTTGAGACGTTCTTCTTTCGCGCAATCTGGCGTTGAAGTCAGCCGACGATACTTATAAAGCATAGGTCGGGCCTTAGATTCTTCAGCCTCTGAAGACGTGTCCTACTAATGAAAAACTTTGAAATCAGGCGATATAACACTATAAATACTGAAACATGTATCAATCTTGGAGATGCGTTGTTAACGCAACAAATCCAAGAACACATTTCGCGGCAAAAACCTCATAAATGGGTTTTGGGTAGGAAAATTGACGTGTATAAAGGAAAAAGCAAAGAAAACGTAGTCTGAACAGGCTCTTACAGAGAGAGACCCTCGGCGCTTAACGTGCGGCAAAAACGCATGTGACAGTTGTCAGAAGCGTCCGCCCGGTAATGCGCTCATTGATGCGCAAATGAATGGCTATTTGCAAGCATCTGGCATTTCCATTGTAGCGCGGCAGTTGTAATCCAACCTCAGTTAGATTTTGATCTAATGCTTTATTAGTAAATTTTAGAATTTCGTAGTAGGGATTTTAAAACGCGACGCTTCTACATTTAGGAATTTCAATGTAATAATTGATATTACACTTCCGTAACTCTACCTATACACATATCTATCCCTACTATATATAAAGCGCTAAGTCTGTCTGTTCGTCTGTGTGTGTGTCACGAAATTCATAGCACGCGTCGCAGCAGTCGTTAGGAGCTGATTTTCATATGATATAGGGGTGGGACGGAAACATATTTGGTGGGGGTCACCAAGTGATAACGACTGATAAGAGCAGATAAGAGGCGCTGAAACACAAATTTCACGAAATTCATAGTGCGTTCCGCAGCAGTCATCAGGAGCTGATTTTGGGACATGATGTATGCGGTGAGACGGAAACATATTTGGTGGGGGTCACCAAGTGATAACGACTGATGGGGTCTGATAGTAACGATATGCGTACGAACGTAGAGAGCACTTGAAATAGAAAATAGAGAGCAGATTGTAGATAATGCCTTTCATTTCAATATCATTTCATCAGGTTGTAATTGTGAACTCAAACACCTTTCCACCGCTTCACCTTCTAGGGTTCTTAAGAATGAATGGGATGCTCGAATAAATATGATAATGAATACTAGGCATTCCGTTTTGAGATAGTCGACCGCTAAATTACCTCGATACTCGACGCATAGTGGTTGTTTACATCATCACTTTAGCTGTGCACTTCACTGCGCTTATCAAACAGCGAGATACAGCCAAGATAGACCTATGCAACGGACAGTGATACATTTAACGGAGCAGTTATGATTTAGCGGTGAAACCTGAAGTTTCATCTATTGTCAGTTCTATCAATGCGCGCGGTAGCGGGCGGAGCTAAACTGATTACATATAACCCCAAATTTGCTCACAGTGTAATTCAATGCTCTAATTATAAAAATAACATTGGTTTTCGATTGTAGTGCCATCTGGCGTCACTTTGTAAAGGCACTTGTTTTCTCTTTGGATACACAGTAGTTGTATGGTGCTAATTAGAATATGAATTTTGATAATGGCATAATTGTCAGTTTCGATGGAAATTAATTTTATATATTTGGGGTTGTAATAGTTGAATAGTGGTCTATATTTTCACGGAATAGGACTGTGATAATTAGACAAGATTACATTTGAGTGTTCGAGATGGTTGGTGATCATCGAGGAGCCAAGACTGACATAGATTGCGCTCAAATAAATGCTCGGCTATATCTTCAGGTTTGGATATCAAGCTCTAGGTTTGTGTTCTTCCATGCGTTTTCTTTGTTCTTCAGACCCAAGTGTCGATGGCGTGAAAGTGATTGAGTCGTTCAGGATGTCCAGCTATGCTCCCATCCCGTAGTTTGGGTACCTCAAAG